TAAATATTTAATAAACGACTATGCAACCTCATTTCTTCCTTTTTAACAGTTAGTGACTAAACCAAGTGAATGTCTTTGAGTTGAGATTCAGAGCCAAGTCATGAATCTTCATTTAATAATGCAATTAAGTGCTTGTTTGTTGCTCTTGGTTATAAAAAGCGTTAATGGAGCCAAAGTATTGTTCTTCTGTCCAGTTCCAGCTCATAGTCATCAAAAAATGTATACCGCCGTATGGAAGGAGATGTCATTCAGAGGGCATAAAGTGTTTGTTGTGACCCCTAACCCTGCCTTCAATAAATCCATGGTAAATTTAACCGAATACGACATTAGTTCGGTTTACGAGTTTCAGCGCTCGCAAATTAAACCCGAATGGAAAGAGACCGTCTTCAAAAAGCCCACATTTCTAGGATTAATTGCGCGCCAGATTGTAATTCAATACGTTGGTGGAGACGGAATGGAGTTTCTGTACCAACATGCAGAAGTAAAAAGACTTGTCAAAGGTAATGGGATTTAATGTTTGAATGTTGTCCGTACATTCGTTCCCATTTTAGAACACAATAACTTCGATATTTGCTTGTTTGAGTGGTTTCATCCTGCACTAGCAATTTATGGCCATTTATTCAATTGCCCTGTGGTCGGCCTCGGGTCAAACAGTCTTCCAATCCAAATGCTAGATTCCGTTGGAAATCCCAGTCATCCCATTACCGCACCAGAGCAAGATTTACCAATTCCCAGGATGTCAATCACATTTTTCCAGCGAGTTTGGTCCACGTTCTGGACGATTTTTGCTCGATTACAACACAAATATTTTCTGGTTCCAATGGAGGACGCTCGGATTCGAAGATATTATGGATCCAAAGTACCATATTTGGGTGATTTGGAAAAGAACATCAGCTTGCTGATTTTGAACAGAAACCCCGCATTTCATAGACCAATTCCCAATGGGCCTAATGTAATTGAACTGGGAAGCATTCAGTATAAGTGGTCCAACATCACATTTGATCCAGTAGGGCTGATATTGAGTTACAATAATATATAACTTTTGATGCAGTGTCGTTTAAGGACTTGAAGCAATTTCTGGATAACTCCAATGAGGGAGTGGTATATTTCAGTCTTGGTGTGAGCATGGAGGGCACTTCTATGCCTCCTAGATATTTAGGAACGTTTCAGGCAGCATTCAGGAAGCTGCCGTTTCAAGTTCTATGGAAATGGGAAAATTCCAGCATGCACAACAAACCCGACAATGTGTTGATTGCAAAGTTTGTGCCTCAGGTTCTGGTACTGCGTAAGTAGTTTTTGGAATTTTTGTAAAACACTGTACTGGTCTATGTATTGTTAGTGATGAAAATTAATACCTTTTATAAACAATTACGAAACTGGAAGCACACATGAGCGACTAAACATATCTTTCTTTAAAGGTTTATTTCACTTTTAAATTATTTCCTATACTTCTGGAAACTGAATCTCATTTAGCCAAGTTAATTATTTGTTGGGTAACTTTATCCATCAGATAATTACTCAGCTAAAAATCGAGACAACAATGCTTTCGGTAGTAATTACTTGCTGTATAAAGTTACACGGGGAAGAATTTACCAGATCTACAGAAAATATCTACATAATTTCAAATGTTGCCTTTTGGAGGTAGTCTATGAGGCAAAATGTCGCTTTTACATGATTTTGAAATTTGCTTGTATTTCGTTGCCGACGCATGAAAAATCATTTATTTGCACAACGAAATTATTAAATATTGGCTGCAAATTCCAACTTGGTATTTTCTGATATAACGTTTGAAAAAAGAACGGAATGTAATATAGAAAATTACAAGGAATGGAACAATGCAACCTACACAATAATACTTTGAAGAAAAAGACTTGCTCAACTTAATAAAACAACGCTTTTCATAAAAACAAAGGTTAGTTCAAACTGGCAAAGAATCTCAAGCTACTATTTTAGTTTAAAAAATCGAAATTTTTTCTTTATGAACCTCAATAGCAGCCCTTTCACCAATTTGCGGGACCCGGCAAAATAACTCTTTCATGAAAAGTGTCTACTTCCGGAATTGCAACATTTTCCCCTGATTGGCTGATTGGGTGTTGATAAAGCAATATTCTATTAATTCCTCTACAAGTAATTGCGATAAATTGAAAAAGTAATTCTTGGAAGAAAATTAAAAGCAACTGCGATATGTTGCTATACAGGGTGTCCCACCGGAATCTGCTGCGATCGATATCTGGCTAACTGTAAGTAGGAGAAATTTGAAAATTGCACAATGTTCCGAAGTCACTGGGGGAAAGCGACATAATTTTTTTTAAGGTGGCCGCACTTCCAGTTATACCGGAAGTAGGTATCAACTTGCTTATTTTAAATGGAACACCCTATATATTATTACATTGTTAAATTCTACTGCAAATTTTATATATATTTGAAATTTTATATGAAAAATGATAGTTGCAGCCACTCGAATAATTCTTCCTTTTGCCATTAAAGGAATATGTGCTACTAAATTTGAGTCGTATTTATTATTCAAAAGAACTTACTTTAATGGAATTTCGACAGTTTGAAAACTATTAATACACAGTGTTAAAAAATAAGTTTCAAAATACAGTTGAGAATACAGTTGAGTTCTCAAAATCAATTTTTTATAAAGGAAACCCCCATTTTTGATATTTTTGTCTTATTCAGTGTTAAAAATAAGTGTAAGTTTGTGTAATGTTGTCTATTCCAAAAGAGTGAAGAAAAGAACAGGTATCTATTGCAACGGTCTTAGCTGAAAATAAAATCCATATCCGCTACCTTCTCGATACCGGAGCTGATGCGTCGCTCTTACATGACAGGAATTGGGTCAACAAAAACCGAAGTCCTAGGATCATGTGTCATGATTATTTGTTTTTCACAAGTGAAAATTGAAGTAAAGTTCCTGATTGTTCCAAATGGTACACTGCCGCAACTGGATGCAATTATTGGATGGGATGTTATCAACCAACCTGGACTGCAATTGCTAAAAACTAAAACTGGTCTGGAGTTGCAGCACACTCTAGCCGTACGATTATGTGATGTAAAATAGCCCTCAACATCATTGCTTTCAATGTCAGGAGTGGACGAGCAGACTGAATTAAAAATACGACAATTATTGGAAGAAACCACTTTGTGAGACAAGCTCCCAAAAGAATCACCTCCCATCGATAAAACAGAGATCCGATCGAAGAAATGCGCCTCAACCGAGGTTGCGAGAAAAAGATTTAATGAAAAGCGTATGATCGGTAAACCCTACTACATTGGAAATATTGTTGTAGTAGAGAATACCCAGGTCAGGGGAGGCAAATTATGGCTTCGATACAAAGAACCGTTTGAGATATCCGCTTGTTTACCTAATGAGCGTTATGCTTATTATTATTTATCTCTCTGTATGTGACAGACCAATAGATCCACTTGTTCTTGGCCAATTGTATTATTTTTTAAAATCTAACATATATATCAATATACATATATATTATAAGTATATCAAGAAACGGTTAGACTTAGGTGTCAGATATTATACATGAAATATATTTAGAAGTAGGAGTAGAATTTAAAAATGTAATAATATATAGGGTGTTCCATTTAAAATAAGCAAGTTGATACCTACTTGCGGCATAACCGGAAGCGTGATAATCTTGAAAATATTTTAGACCGTTTGCCCCCAATGAATTCGGCAGACTCTGCAATTTTGAAATTTCTCCTAACTACAGTTTACCTGATATCGATAGCGACGGTTCCCGGTGGGACACTCTATACATAGTGAGTTTTTTTGGATGACTAGTACAGGGATCTTCGGAACTAGAGCAGCTACGAAGAAGGTCAAATGAACAAAAAATTGGTTACTATGGAAACAGTGGTGTATGTCTTATACTATTTTCCATGGCTAACTTCGATCAACTAAATTGAAAAAGTGTAAATTGTTGGCAGACACTTTATTTTCGAAAAGACCTAACGATGTGATAAATCACATAAATCACAATAAAATGCTCTATTCGGTAAATCGATAATCAAGTATGGTTGCCATTTAAAAAACTCAAACTTGTGCCATATGTCAAAAATTACAGTTATTTTTGAGAAATCTTTTACGACATTATGTTTGGAATTCAATTTCATGCAAGGTTCCTATTAAATGTTTTTCTGTCAAATTAATATCAACGGAACTGAAAGTAATTTAAAAATTTACCAGCAATAAGTTTTTCCTAAATATCTCTTGACAGCTGTTAAATTTGAGATGAATAAAATTGGTTTCGAGTAGAGCATTCAAAACTACAATTCTTTGTCCATTTGACCTTCTTCGTAACTGCTTTAGTTCCGAAGATCTCTGTAGTAGTCATCGAAAAAAACTCTGTATACAGTATTCCTCTTTCATGGGTACATTCACGAGAAACTAGAAAATAATCCAATGCTCAATTTTCTCTCTAAAATACCGTCAACAGTGAGAAGCCCTGTAGGTATATTAAATTGACTTGCAATAGCGACCTAAAGCTAAATCTAGGGGTACTTGAATTAATTTTATCAAAAATATTTAGCGATCAACTAAGCTCTATTGAAATGTGCCATCCGAATTCCCAAGCCAGGCAAAATTTATCAGAATTTTTGATGAGTTACGGCGACCAACAGGTAATTGAAATGGCTCTGAAAATAAATTAATAATTTGTGTTTCATTAAGCTGAATACAGAATGAAGTTGTAAAATGCCCTTTGCCAAAAGCATTATTGTGTTGGGTGCGCCCTTTGTATCCCAGCAATATATTATATTACTTTCCGTGATTCATTCTAATCTATATTCGCAAAAAAGTAGGTAATCATATTTCAATGAGGTTCGGATGGAGAACATGAAATGATTTATATTTTTAAAGCATTGAATGGGATTTTTGTTAAACCAGTTTTTGTCTTTTCAATTAATAAAGCACCAATAAACTGACCTTTGTTCAATATTTCAGTGGACATTGCAAATTCGAACAATATATTTTGATGAATGTAATAGTCATTGATGTAGGTATTTTGTTTTCACATTTTATTGGTAATAGAAAACTATTTGGTCATTTGATGTTTTTCAGTGTATAAGGCGAACTTTACAATCTGGTGTGTCCAAAAGCAATAAAAAAGCATTTTTATTCATGTTTGGAATAAATTATTAAACGAATATTGATCAAGCGTGCTGGATGATTCTGAGATTCAATATGCAGCTAAGGGAATTATTTACTGAACGCACTTCAGTATTGGCGAAACTAAAAACAAAATGATTTAAATTAACTGATAATTATTATCACATCTTACAAATAGCCCCAATGCTAAATTGCCACTTCAATCTGATAAAATGTTCAACATTGTTCGATTATTAGTAGTATTCCGGATAATACAGTCGGTTTAGAATGCATTTAACCGGTAAAGTATGGCTGCAATTAGTGATAATAGTGAATGTAGTGGTTGCAATGGACGCAGCAAAAATTCTGTTTTTATCTTGTACGCCCGCCCGCAGTCACCAAAAACCGTTTCAGGTGGTGTGGAGAGCTTTATCTCAAAGAGGACACGATGTGCATGTTCTCACACCAAATCCTTTGAATGATCCAACTTTAAACAATTTAACTGAATATGACCTGAGTGATTTCTACGAAGATCTCAAAGCTATGAAAAATGACGATATTCAATACTTCCTTCATAGGCCCACATTTTTTTCATCCTTTGTCAAAGATGTAGTCGCAACAAAAATGTTTTCTCGACTTTATAATAAGACCATAAATCATCAAGAGACTAGAAGACTGTTACGAGAAAATGATCGTTTTGATGCGGTTATAGTGGAATGGATATTTCCCACTTTGGCATCGATCGGTGCATACTATAAGGCTCCAATTATAGGAATAACCTCCCTTGGTGCACCTTTAGTGGCCCTGGATAGTTTAGGGAACCCGTCACATCCCCTCGTAGCACCCGAAATGAATCTACCTTTGAAACGGGACCTTTCCATTAAGGAGCGATTATTGTCTGTATTATATGCTTTCTATGTTAGACTTTATTATTGGGTGGTAGTTTTGCCCAGAGAGGATGAGAACGTAAAAAAACATCTAAGTAGCGAGCTGCCATACATTGGTGATATAGCAAAAAGCCTCAGTTTGCTTCTAATGAATAGAAATCCAGTTTTCCATCGGGTAGTGCCACTGAATCCAAACACCATCGACTTGGGGGGAATATCAGTTTTATCGCCTGCAACGTCTTTGGATTCAGTAAGCCAATTATCGTGCTTTGTGAGCAAAGTTAATCAAACATCTTAATAATTTAAGGAGTTGAAAGTATTCATAGAAAAATCGTCAAAAGGTGTAATATACTTTAGCCTGGGAAGTCTGGTGCAATCAGTCTTTCTTCCTCCCAAAACAATCGAAACAATCCAAAATGTATTCAAAAGTCTTCCGTACTCGTTTGTTTGGAAATGGGAAAATAGCTCAATGATCAACCAGCCTACAAATGTATATATCAGCAACTGGATCCCGCAAACCGCTCTTTTAGGTATTACGAATATGTGTTTAAAACTGGTCTTGGTACGTGACTATCAAGTAAAGTTTTTACGACAGAACATGCATTAACTTAACGGAAATTTTTTCAATTCGACAAACTGATAAAAGCTTTCAAATCTTGCTAAAAGGGTCTACTCCACTACAAATGCGACGGCCTCCAATTGGAGAGAAGCAAGCAATGAATTGAAAAGGTTGTGCTTTACAGTAGGTATTGATGCGAACATTTGTTTGTTCAATTTGAAATGCTTCAATGGATTTAAAAGTTGGTATTTTGCACTAGTTATGCATTTGCAATATAAAATTTCCCTGCATGTAAGTATCAGTAGAGTCGAAGTTCAGAGGCTCTGCTTTACTACTTGCGCGGGATTCCCTTATATACCGTACATGCAACATTTTAAGTGCAATCAAGATGCATAACATTGTTTCTGAGAACATTTTCTTAATAAAGGCAGCACATCTTTGCCTTTACCTACAACTTACATCTTTGTTTCCCATTAAAAATATATTCCAACAGCGCGACACCTACAACTTTTCGATGTTCATTCTTCTTTCAGTAACTCTGCCCATTTATCGATTTTCAGAACATCCAAATGTGAAGCTTTTCATTACTCAAGGAGGTTTACAGTCAACTGAAGAGGCAATTGCAGCTCATAAACCTATAATTGGTATTCCGTTTCATTCTGATCAAACCACCAATGTAGACACTTGCGCTATGTACGGAATGGGAAAATTACTAGACATGGAAGACATCACAATAGAAACTTTAAGAAGTTATATTTTAGAAATTGTAAATAACCCCAGGTAAAGCCTAGAAGCTCGAAAATGGGCAGTTATTATTAGACGATGTTGCAGGTATGCTGAAAATGCGAAAAAACTTGATGAGCTTATGAAAGATCAACCCCAGGACGGTTTGGACAAAGCTATCTGGTGGATAGAATATGTCATTCGTCATAAAGGAGCAAAGCATTTGCGAAGCATTGCTGTCGACTTGCCTTGGTGGCAATATTTTCTGCTAGATGTTTTCGGATTTATATTTACAGTTCTTCTCATATTTCTACTGAGCGTACGGTTCACATTAAAGTTGGTGTTTAGATTAATAAGCTATATAAGAAAACCGAAAGAAAAATCCATGAAAAAAAAGAAGCAGTAAGAAATAGGACAGCTGAAGGACATTGCAAATCGAAGAAGGAACTATTCGTATATATAATTTGTTACCAGGACCTAACTCGGTCTTTTTGTTGTCATTAACAGGAAATTTTTCAGATATGTTTGAAGCTATCAAAAGTAATTTATTTAACATAGTGGAGTTACCAATGGAACACCTTCCCTAAAATACGGGAACACTACTTTTCTGTATCTATGCGTATTTATATATTTTATGCTTGGGGCAAAAATATGGCAGGGGGTCGTATTTGTAATGGCAGGAAGTCGATTATAGGTATGGGAAGTCGGTATTGTTGCTGTGGACTTTTTTATGACGATTAAGAATTAGATCGGAATTAATTGCAGATACAGGTGTTAAGTCAAGTGCAATTTAAATAACTGTGATTTGCTAAATTGAGGTTTTCTATTATGTCTAGTTTACTTTATGTAATATTGGAATATATTTGAATTGATTTGACTACTCAGATATCGCCTGTTATTTTTATAACCTTAAGTGTCGGTTGTTCAAGATTAGTAGATTATTTTTCATTTTATTTGATTTTCCTACCTACATATAAATGAAACCAAATATTTCTAACAGCGAACGGAACACATTTTTATTTTTTCAAATAAAGCCAAGAACCACAGAAAATTGATTATTAATCTGCAAACAAACTTCAATAAAAATTGAGCAAATTTTCCTAATTTATGATGAGAACAATGTGTAAGTAAACGTAAATGAACGCTGCAGCTGTTGATAATTGATAATTTTGACTTTCAGCATAAGTAATGGAGTAGAGACTCCCCTTTAATTGATTGAATTAAACTCAGAGTGCATCACTTTTGTTTTCGTCACAAGCAGATATTAGTTAAGTACTGAACAGGTGTTCAAAGTATCCAATAGATAAACTGAGAGGTCAATGTTTCTTCCATGATATGATTTTCAAACAACACTTAAATCTCATTTCAAGTGCTTTATTATTACATTTAACTTCCAGGTTAAATTCAGGTAGGCTCATTTGGTATACCCAAAAAATTTAATAATTTTTCAGTAGTGCAATTTTAAATTACATTGTGCAAATTTATCAACAAATTGTAATTTTATTACAAGTTCTTTAATAAAAAACTAAATTTGTGTTGGACGAATAATTGGGCTACAAACAAATGAAATGAAGCACTGAGCATGTTTCCCAATCCATGACTAAAGATTAAAAAATATATTCGCAAATCAGATCACAAGCCTACAACACTAGACTTTTTATTTCAGACAATGTTTTACCATGACCCAGTTGAAGACTTTATAAAAATTTGGTCCTTTTTTCGTTTCGTTTTAAAACCAGCTTCTTCGGCGCCTTGATACTAAGAGCAGCTACAATAAATATTTTTCTCGCAACGAAAATAAAAACCCAAATAACCGCAGCAAGAAAACCGAATATATCTAAATGGTAGAATTGATAAAATGGCACGTCCACTCCTGCATAATTTAAATGGGATGTTCCATTATGACGGAGGACGTACTCGATCCAAAATATCGCCTTATCCAAGGAACTGATCGGTTGATCTTCGAATATAAAGTTCTGCTTTTCTATGTTCTGTTGATAACTGAAAGCAAAATTATACGAACCAGGGTTAATGGATTATTTCTTGTTTGCTTACGTTATGTCGCTCAACACCAAGTTGACCTTTTCCTTAAACTCTTCTTCTGTGTATTTTTGGAAATTTATTACTTCGGCAATTCCCAATTTAGCGCATCTCGCTGCGTTGGATTGCTGGTCCCCCAAAAATGGAATTATCACCATTGGGACTTTTCTGGATATAGCTTCGTCCAGAGACTGTATTCCTAAAGCAGACCTTTGTTTATCTAGAAAACTATTCCTTGGTGTCATTTCTGCTACCTCCTTGTGTAACGAATAGCTTGACCTTTGGATGCCCTAAAACGTCTTGCTGAGGGAACCACTCCTTAACGTAAAAGTTCTTTGGTAAATCCTCTGGCAGGTTCTCCAGCTGATGTTTAAAAAGTACGGTGTATGGAAGCTCTCCTAGGACTTTGTAGATTTTAGCCAATTGCATTTTGGAAATACTTGTTGGATTCACATTCGTTCCTAAGCTAAAGTATATCACATCGTTTTGAAGATTGGCTAGGAATTCTTCCAGATCCTAAAAGATTGTATGCTAAAATATTGCCGCATAAAAAATGCTAGCATTTCTTTTACCAGTGGCAGGGGCTGTTGGGGATGCAAATGTATTCCACCAAGGGGGACAAACTTCGGAACCATGGGCTTGACGTTTTGCAGAACGGAGTTGTAATTACCAAGAACCAAATCAACTTCTTTTGCTAAATCTCTTGCGGATTTTGACACTGTTTTGAAGTACTTTTTCAATTGGGCCTCGAAGGTTGGCGTCATTTTCAACTGGCCGATTAATCGGTATGCGATATTGAAAGCCCAACTTGTTACACGTTGTTTAAACGTTTCTGCTTGTGAAAATCCCAGTAGGAACTCCGGTTCCAGAATGGGATGTTTCCACATACCAAGCGACTCAGATGCCATGAGTGTTAATGGCAGTGATGTTATTCCCACAAAAGGGACATTATAAATGTCTTTGAAGGCAAAGTACGGCAACCATAGGAATTCCACCAAAAGGATATCAAATGTGTTATTATTCGCGTTGTGGATAAGGTCTTGCATGTACGGATGCTTTAGCTGCGCTTCACTAACTTGGGTGAACAAGTCGAATAACTTGGAAACATCAAAACCTGCCTTCCCCAACGTTTCCATTATCTTATAGCTAAAGCTTAGATCGTACTCAGTGAGATTGGTGAGACTGGGATCGTTTAGAGGCGATGGGGTGTAAACAGTTACTTCGTGCCCTCTTAGCGACAATTCCTTCCATATTGGCTGGAATGTGATCTGATGACTGTAGCTTGGCATCATGAATACTCCAAGAATTTTAGCTGCATGTGTTGCAGTGCACAAAACGCCGAAAAGAAATACACTTGATAACCACATTTTCACTGGTATCACTCCGAGGTCTACGATTCGCTTGTCTACTCATCTATTGTTACGTTATCGATTTTATTCAAATCTTCCAATGACGAAAATTAAATTTAAGTGTTATTGATTATTAAGTAGATACATATTTTCTTTAGTAGTAGGGGTGCTTGCGATAGTTTCCCCATAGTGATTAAAGCAGCTTATATAATTAAAAGACATGGTAGTAAAAATTGCCACAGCCTTTAGAAGGTGTGATTTTGACTAATCCGAAATGATTTGAGGATTTTAAGGTGAAAACTGTCTACAAGTGACGGCTTAATTTCAATCCTGGGCTATTAACAAGCAGTGATGAATAATGATGTTGTGAGAGAATATTAAAAATTAATTTTAAGTATCATTGAACAGTTAGTTGAGAGCAGGTGTTAGTTTTTATAGATAAAAAATGGCAACGTATTAAGTAAACAAATCATAAAATAACATCGAAAGCATTAATTTAAAAATCTACACAACTGGGCTGTGGACATTGCACATGATTGAATAGTAGGAATCTTGATGTCTCAGTTTTGAAAGGCTCCTCAATTAGAGTCCAGAAAAGATATTGATGGTCATGCTCATCGAATAGATTAACCGACCTTCTCATACTGACAAATTTGAATTATATCTAAGTCCGAGTAGTAAGTTGCTTGTAGATAGACGGTTTCAATAAGTAGAAATAGTTCAAGTTAGGCATGGGTAACACTGTGTTGAGTTGGGCTTTTGAGTTCTTGCCGCTCTGTGCGCCAAAGAATTGGGACTCATCGCGTCGCACTGAACTACGCTTAGGCCCGGTTCCACCAAGAGTGATTAAATTCTTGGTTAACTAATAACAATCACTTTTTAATCACCACTTTAATCGTGATTAAAGTGTTATGCGTTCCACAACAAACATTTTAACTCCGGTTAGATAAGCATCAGTCTCATCGCGTAATCCACGGTTCTGATTGGTTCAAACAACTGACTGATCAACTTAAATCATTTTCCCTCAAAATAGTAATCACATGTCGCTTAAACATTGTCAGAGAAATATCCTTTTCTATTACGAAATACTTCTGCGTTGTCTCCCCCAAAGGATTGCACTTTAATATGAGTACAATCCAACACTGAAATAAGTTTGGAAAAACGAGCTAATGCATAAAAAATTACTTGTGCTGCACTTATTTCCCTTTTTGTAGATGGAAGTTTAATGTCACGTCGAGCTAATGTGGCTATTGCAGCAGTAACTCGATGTACGATTCGATGTGGACTAGTTTTGCTTACTCCAAAAAAGTCTTCAGCAGCAATAAGATGCTAACCAGTTGCATAATACCTCAACACAAGTTGTGTCGAGGGTTGAGTAGTGCTGTTTCTAAAAAATCCATTTAATGAACATGTGGTAATTTTACTATTATTCATTTATCATAACTTTCTGTAGTATGTTGCAGGTGTATTTCTGTTTCCATCAGTAATGTTTGGACAGTGTTTTTCGATAAGCGTAAAAAACTCAAGGTGTTTATGATTTCAAAATAATTGACTCGCGGATTAAATATTCGGGGTCATCTAACAACCTGAATGTCATTATTCTCATCCGACGGTGATAAAACATCGTCATAAAACAAATCCAACATATGGTTACTTAAAATTGTTTGAGGTCATAATACTACACTAATCGGGATTATCATCAATAACCAGCCATTTTAGGCGATTCAGTTAACCACTGATTAAGTGTCCATAATCGTGGTTAAAATGACGCTAGAACGCAAAGTGTTGATCGTTTTAATCAATGATTAACAGTTTAATCGGAGATGGTGAAACCGGGCCTTAGATTTGACCCAGAGGCGTTTTAAATCTTCACGAGGCCCGTGACTGCAATTTTAGGAACAAGAAAAAGTTCACCACATTTTTTTGTCAAATATTCACAAAAAAGTGTGACATATTGGAAATTGCTACATTAATAGAGATAAGATATTCTTTTATCATCATCATCATCATAATCATAGTATAGAAGGCATACTGCCTGTTCAGTTCCGATTTCTCTGCAGCACTTTCTGTGAAGTTGATTGCCAACTGTCACGCCACCTCTTTGGTGGACATCCAATAGGTCTCCCTCCGCGTGGGTTGTTGTTACGTAATATTTTGGCTAGCCTGTCGTTATCCATTCCGTTGCCATGCAGGTTCCATTCTCTTCTTCTCTTGCTTATCCATCTCACTATGTCGTCAGGATGGCACTTTTCTCTCGGGTCCATGCTTCTCCGTCTCTCGTTCAATGTGTATCCCGTTATTGTTCTTAGAATTTTCATCTTCGTTGTTCTTTGTATCCTCCTTGTTACTGATATTTCCGCTCTTCTCTCTGCCCCGTATGTCATAATAGGCCGCACGCATGTTTCGTAGATTCTGGATTTACATCCTGTGCTGAGGTATTTATTTTCCATATTATGTGTTTTAGATGTCCCGATATTGTGGCTGCTTTGTTCTTGCTCCTGTGTTCGTTATCTTGCATCCTAGGTGCTCGAACGACATGGCTTGGTCGACGATGGTATCTTCTATTACTAGCTTACAGCGTAGAGGTTCCCTAACTATGATCATGCATTTGGTATTTGTTTTAGAGATCTCCATGTTCAATTTCTTTGCGTGTCTCTTAAGCTCGTGTTAAACTCTCGTTAAACATTCCTTGTAGGTTATCTTTTGATTCCGCGATGAATATGTCGTCATCGGCATAACATAATATGTCAAGTTTATGTGTTTGGCACACATTCGATATCCCAATTCCACGCTCTTTACGGTTTCTATTAATTGGTTATATCCATATTGAACCGTAAAGTGATAGGTGTAGCTTGTTCGTATTTACGTTGTTGTGTTTGTGTTCATATCTTTCATAAGTTTTATGTACTCTATGGGCACATTCTTGTTATTCGACATGTTGATTACGTCCTTTATTTGTACTTTATCGAAAGCTTTCGCTAGGTCAATGAAACAAAGGTATGCGGAGGTGTTATACCGGAGGGACTTCTCTATTAATTGCCTTGTTACAAATAATGCGTCAATGGTGGAACTGTTTCTAGTGTCGTTATTTCATCAGCAAGAATCTGTAAACAGTTTGCATGAAGTACTTAACAGCGTTATCCCACGGTAGTTGGCGGGATTTGATTTCCCGCTCCTTTTGAAGATAGGCATCGTTATGCTTCTTTTCCACTCTTCCGTTATTCTTCCGTGTTGACTTAGAATGTTGAACAGTTTTGGATATTCCCCTCTTATAGCGTCTCCACCATATTGGATCATCTCATTTTCCTGTTTCTTCTTCTTTACTGCCGTATTTACCTGCTGTGTCGTGATTCATGCCTGATCACTAATAACAACATTTTATGGTTCTTCCTGTGGTGGGTCTTTCTTATTTTCTGGTTCTGCGTAAAGGTTTTTAAAGTACTTTTCCCACATTTCGTTTGTGATTGTCTTTAGAAGTAGTGTTTCGTTCGTGTCCTTTTTCATGCCTCTCAATAATTTCCATATTCGCTTTTGTGCTCCGTACATGTCCGCTTCCATTTCGTTACTAAACCTCTGCCAGTATTCTTCTTTAATTTCCCTAAGTTTGTTTCTTACTTCTATGTATTTGTCTGGGTTCTCTGGTGTTGAGGAACTCTTATACCCTAGATAGATTTGTTTTTCTCCTTTGTAATGTTTTTGATTTCTGTGGTTAACCATTGTTTTCTGTGTCGTGTGATACCGTCAGAGTTTCCAAGGCTTCTGTGGCACCTTTGCATATATTTCTTTCAGTTTATTCCATGCTGTATTAGGGGTGTCGTGCTGGAGTATGGGATTAAGGGTAATATCTTGTCCGCAACAGTTCGAGTAGTAGAGCTTCGTTGTGGTTTCTTTCATTGTTGAGCGATTCTATATTAAATTTTTCGGTTGTTAAGGTTGGGTTTGTCTTCGTTAATAGGGTTACCATTCTTAATTTTCCAACTACGAGCTTGTGGTCTGTTCCAATATTGGCTGAGCTCAGTCCTCTTACATCTGTTATTTGTTGAGGCAGGAGCGTTCGGTTAGTGATGATGTAATCGATTGTGGATTTGTAATTTCGGTTATCATAGAAGACATATTTGCACTGTTCTTTGTGGGGAAAGTATGTGTTATTAATTCGCAACTCATTCTGTGCACAAAACTTCGTTGACATTTCGCCATTTCTGTTTGTTACGTTCTCGTTGTATTTTTGTTTTATTGCGTCTATGACCCCATACCTACTCCAGCGTTTAGGTCTCCCAATATGATTGTCTTTTCCTTGCTTGGTATTTTATCTAGTTCTGATTGGAGAGTTTCATAAAAGTCCGTTGACATTTCGTCGGGGTTCCTCATATCCGGTACGTAAACTGATATAATATGAATGGATGGTTAAACGATATTGTTAGCTTTAGGATTAAGAAAGGATAAGTAATCTTTGTCAGGCAAAAAGTCAGCTAAGTTATAGTGTGAATTTGGCTTTGATTAAGCACTTGGTTACTTCAAAAGTAATTTTCAAGCTTGAAGTAAAAGGCGAAAACTAAATTTGATATACAAAATTAGGTGGAAATGTTACGCATTACGTGATTTCTTCGCAATTTTTTTGTTAATTCCGTATTCTTTGAAAAGGAAAAATAATTTGGTAGATTTTGACGTTGTGCATTAATTGCTTCAAATGAATGAAATTCAAATCCATATTAATTATAATAGATCATAATGAATAAATTCAGATGTACCATAATATTAAAAATGTAGGTTTTTCCCCACGTTCACATGGCGCTCTTTTTGACTAAAAAAACCAGCTTACCTGCCTAGATATATTCTAACCTGTAAACGTGCAACAATGTTGTACAATTGTGGACATTGTTTCTAATTTCTCCATTGTGTACAGTTTTCGTAGAATATTGCCCGAATAAATAAATTAAATATCTGAATCCTCACGACACATCCCGAAATCCTGGTAATTGAAAAGGATCGGTCGGCTCTTCTACGTAATGACTTTCGTGGCTCTCTGTATCGGTTGGAGGCTCGGATATAAACAAAATTAATTGTATCCAATTCAGTTTCTGGTGTAGGTTTTCGC